GGTTTGTCTCCAGGAGGGGCAGACGGGACAGGGACCGACAAGGGCGCGCCGGTGGAACCGACTAAGCTTGGGGTCCCAGCGAGAGTGAACCCCTACTCCATCATCGACATCACGCCCTTCCAGGAAGAGCAGCCTGCGCCCCCAGACCCCGAGGCCCAGGAGGAGGGCGTGAGCCTGCACGTGCCCAGCGGGTACTCGGTGCCCGTGCCCTGCGGCTACGCCGTGCCCTCCAACCTGCCCGCGCTCCTGCCCGCCTACTCCAGCCCCGTCATCGTGCGCTCCGTGTCCCTGGACGAGGAAGGTGGGCCCTTTCCCTGAACTGTCCACCCCGTGCGAGATGGACGTCGTGTGCGCACGAGTGTGTGCGTGCATGAGTGTGTGTGTGCACGCACGGAGGTGTGGCTGTATGTATGAGTGTACACACGAGTGTGTACATGTATGGAAATGTGTGTATGCACGAGTGTGTGGGGGAATGCATGTGTAGATGAGTGTGTGCATAGGAACGTGTGTGTACATGAGTGTATGTGTGCATGAGTGTGTGTGCATGCATATATATGTGGTTGTGTATGTGTGAATGTGTGTGTGCATGGCAGTATATGGTGTGTGGGAATGTGTGTGCATGAGTGTGTGCACATGTGTGTGCATGAGAGTGTATATGCATGTGTGTGCATGCACATACGTGTGACTGTGTATGTCTGAGTGTGTGTGCACGTGTGCATGTGTGAGAGCAGGGAAAGTTTGGTTGTCCACTATCACCAACTTAACACACTGCGGACCAGTAGTTTTATTGCTCACTTTACCCAGTGGCCAGGTAAGTTTCTATTGAACGAGTACAAAAATTGTTTTACATAAATGTTAAAGGCACGCTTTAAAGCTAAATACCTATTGCATTTTAAAGTTATTTATTACGTGTTCTTACAAGCTAATATCTCTTTAAAGTATGATCTTTGTAAAACACTGTGTGATATGAAGCGAGAATTCTCGTGACCCGTCCGCTATGTGTGAAGCATTGCTACCTTGAAAATCTCCTGAGGTTGCCGTGTGGACACACTTTCAAATAAACCCCAGTTGTCATTTCCTGTGAAAACGTATGAAACGGAGGGAGTCCGGTGTTCCCTTTGCACTCTGACCTGACTTGTTGGGTGTCGTTGTATTTCTGGCTGTTTCATACGACCCTGGAACATCGCTCCGAATTGTAACCCCACGTGGAAGACATTTTATCTGAAACCTAAACCACCTCGAATCCATCACTTAACCATCGTTATGCTAAGATCAGCCGATCGGTGATCAGAAACAAAGTAGGAAATCGTTTTAAGGATGAAAATCAACTTGCATTTTTATCAGCCTCGAGCAATACGCGTTGTTCTCTTTCTTGGCAGAGACCCCCGAAGTGGCGGAAGACGGCCAGGGCAACTCTCTGAGTTCTGAGGACCCAGCAAACAGGTACCCGTGTGGCTTTTCTGGGGATTCTGAGCTGACGGGTCCCTGAAGCCGAGTGCAGAGGGGCCAGTGCGCGGAGCTGCTGGCCGCCCGGCCCCTGTGGCTCCTCCCCTCTGTCCATGACTCTGCCCTCTCTCCAGGGCCCCCAAGAGGGTCCCCCGGCACACAGGGCTGCAAGACGCTAGTGTTACTCTGTGTGGAAGACGAGCGGTGAGGCCACAGCCAAACAGAATGAGCCGTGCAGGCCCCAGTCTCCCTCGGGAGACGCGCCGTGAGCCTCAGCACCACAAAGGCTCTTAGCCCTTCGATGGAAAGAAAAAGATGCTTAACTTTGTTTAAGCCAGATTTCACCGGCATCCTGCCCGCTGGTCTAATTACCGGCCTTTCCTCACACCACTTGCCTTTGCAAGTGCAGTTGCATCTGCTTGGTGTGCCAGGAGAACCCCCTCCCGGCAGACTCCTGTCACCCCGCAACGCTGGACGTTCAGCGGTGGCAGAGCGCCCGGTCCTGAGCAGCTGTGAGTGAAAATCAGCGGGAGAGCCGCGGTCCCGTCTGGGGAATGCACCCCTGGCGGCGTGGTGGCACCTGGGTGCTTCGGGGACACGCGGTAGCCGAGGGCGGGAAGGATGGTCCGTGGTGACGTACCGTTTGCTTTCCTGCAGTGAGGACCGGGCCCGAGCCGAGGACAGCCCCCTGGCCCGCTGGGTGGCAGACCCCGCCAACACCGCCTGGATGGACAGTAAGCTGCCCGCCCACCAGGGATGCCTGTGCCCCATGTCCTCGCCACGCCCAGCGCCGGTGCCAGGCTCAGCCCGTTAGCCTGGTGCCCTGCGTCGGGGCTAAAGGTTATGACACCTGTCACTTACCTCCCGTCAGTCACTGGGATCTCTGCCTCCCAGCACGGCGCCCCCTGGTGTTTGCGAAATGGCTGTGGGTTCCGGACAGAGGCGCTGCCCCCAACCCCCAGGCCCCAGCCAGCAGCCGCCACCAAGACACTGAAACGGCTTCTTCCTGCCGGCCAGTGCCTCTCCATGGTGGGTGAGGGGTGCAGCCACCATGGACCCCAGGCCTGGCCACGTGTGGTTAGAGAGGGCAGCTGCTTCAGCTGGATTTACTTGTTTTTTGTTACTCCTCACCCAAGGATATTTTTCCATTGATTTTCAGAGAGAGTGGAAGAGAGAGGGAGAGACAGAGAGAAATCTTGATGTGAGAGAGACAAATCGATTGGTTGCCTCCTGCACGCGCCTCGACCAGGGCCTGGGCCAGGGAGGAGCCTGCAACCGAGGTACATGCCCTTGACCGGAATCGACCTGTGACCTTGTGGTTTCCACGTGGGAGGCAGTGACGTTGGCGAAGTCCACGTCAGCACAGAGCCCTCTCCGACAGCCAGATGACTCACACGTCGTTCGTCCTCCAGGACCCGCTACCTCGGACCCTCTACCGCGCACACTCGGGGTTTGCCGGCGGAGCTCCTCCCACGTAATTTAAGGAAACTAATGCTCCACATGAAGCTGCTTGAGAAATCCTGTCCTCAAAGTCCAACATGTTAATGAATTAATCCTCATCCTAGGATATTGTTCCCATTGATTTTTAGAGAGAGTAGAAGGGAGAGAGAGAGAGAGAAAACCACACCCAAAAACATTGTGAGGGAGACGCATCGATTGGTTGCCTCCTGCTCATGCCCTGACCCGGGCCAGGGATCGGAGCTACAACCCACGTACATGCCCTTGACCAGGAATCCAACCCTTGACCCTTTGATTTGCAGGCCGATGCTCTAGCCACTGAGCACAGCGGCCAGGGCTTGAGAGCTCACCATTTCTCCACCCGCCTGGGGCTGTCCTTCGCATCCATGGCACACGCGTTGCCTCGTTGGCTCATGTGAAGTTTCCCACTTCACCCCGCGGCACTGGGCGGTCCCTTGTTCCTGACACTAATGCCACCTCGAGTTTCTGTGTCAGGACACATCACCCTCATAAACTTCACGCTTATCAAAGGGCCCCGGGGAGACGTGCAGTCGAACATAGAATAATGGAGGGGGTTGGCCTGGAAACACAGAACTCCCTGTGGAGACTTCCCAGCAGGTCCGTTTGGAGCAAGCATGTCAAACTCGCGGCCCACGGGCCGCATGCCTCCTTTATCTGGCCCGTGCTAGCCTTGGAGTTTGACGTGCTTGCTTTAGCGGGATTTCCTTCAATCCCAAGACCACGCCCTGCCCTCACCGTAGTGCTCACACTTGGCAGGCGCCGCATGACCGCACCGACGGCTGGGGACGGCTAGCTCCCTGGAGACCGCGGCCTGTCGCCGGGAACGTGCGCTCGGCTGGTCCGGCTCAGTTTTCACAGGTCCCTCCTCTCCTTCCAGACCCAGAGGAAGCCATTTACGACGACGTGCCGAGGGAGGAGTCAGACTCCGAACCAGGTGGGGCTCCGTCTGGCGCTGAGTGTTGGGTGACTGTTGGGCCATCTTTCCTGGGCGTGCAGACACCCCCTGTACACACTCCTCTCTGCGTGCCCCTGTGTGTGTCATGTCCATGATCTCTGTGTCTCTCAGTGTCTCGCTGGATCCGTGTGGTGGGCGCACCTGTGTGTGTTTACATCACAGCACTTCATAGAGGGACGGTATCTTTTTTATTGATTTCAGAGAGGAAGGGAGAGGGAGGGAGAAAGAAACTCAATGGTGAGAGAATCATTGATCGGCTGCCGCCTGCATGCCTCAACCTGGGGATCAAGCCTACAACTCAGGCATGTGCCCTTGACTGGAATCAAACCTGGGAACCTTCAGTCTGCAGGCCGACCCTCTATCCACTGATGCTCTACCCACGATGCTCTATCAAACCAGCTAGGACTAGACTGCAGTGGTTCTCAACCTTCTGGCCCTTTAAATACAGTTCCTCATGTTGTGACCCAACCATAAAATTATTTTCGTTGCTACTTCACAACTGTAATGTTGCTACTGTTATGAATCGTCATGTAAATATCTGATATGCAGGATGGTCTTAGGCGACCCCTGTGAAAGGGTCGTTCGACCGCCAAAGGGGTCGAGAACTAGACTGAAGTGGTTCTCAACCTTCTGGCCCTTTAAATACAGTTCCTCATGTTGTGACCCAACCATAAAATTATTTTCGTTGCTACTTCATAACTGTAATGTTGCTACTGTTATGAATCGTCATGTAAATATCTGATATGCAGGATGGTCTTAGGCGACCCCTGTGAAAGGGTCGTTCGACCGCCAAAGGGGTCGAGACCCACAGGTTGAGAACCGCTGGACTAGAGGGTGTTATCTTAATTATCCTAAAGAAGCAGAAAGAATTGAAATAATGAAAGTAAGAATGAAAAGTTCAGAAACATGTAGGTGAGATGCACCAGCATAGGTCTAATAAATGAGAAAATAGAAGAAAAGACTAAGAATGTTCTAGAAATAAAGGAAGACAAGTTCCCAGATGGCAGAAATGCGGCTTCGTAGTGGGCCGTGCATCAACCAGGCCACACCTGGGCCCGTGCAGGTGACACTGGGGCACCGCGTCCCGGCGAGCCCCCGACAGGACACACCTGGGCCCGTGCAGGTGACACTGGGGCACCGCGTCCCGGCGAGCCCCCGACAGGACACACCTGGGCCCGTGCAGGTGACACTGGGGCACCGCGTCCCGGCGAGCCCCCGACAGGACACACCTGGGCCCGTGCAGGTGACACTGGGGCACCGCGTCCCGGCGAGCCCCCGACAGGACACACCTGGGCCCGTGCAGGTGACACTGGGGCACCGCGTCCCGGCGAGCCCCCGACAGGACACACCTGGGCCCGTGCAGGTGACACTGGGGCACCGCGTCCCGGCGAGCCCCCGACAGGACACACCTGGGCCCGTGCAGGTGACACTGGGGCACCGCGTCCCGGCGAGCCCCCGACAGGACACACCTGGGCCCGTGCAGGTGACACTGGGGCACCGCGTCCCGGCGAGCCCCCGACAGGACACACCTGGGCCCGTGCAGGTGACACTGGGGCACCGCGTCCCGGCGAGCCCCCGACAGGACACACCTGGGCCCGTGCAGGTGACACTGGGGCACCGCGTCCCGGCGAGCCCCCGACAGGACACACCTGGGCCCGTGCAGGTGACACTGGGGCACCGCGTCCCGGCGAGCCCCCGACAGGACACACCTGGGCCCGTGCAGGTGACACTGGGGCACCGCGTCCCGGCGAGCCCCCGACAGGACACACCTGGGCCCGTGCAGGTGACACTGGGGCACCGCGTCCCGGCGAGCCCCCGACAGGACACACCTGGGCCCGTGCAGGTGACACTGGGGCACCGCGTCCCGGCGAGCCCCCGACAGGACACACCTGGGCCCGTGCAGGTGACACTGGGGCACCGCGTCCCGGCGAGCCCCCGACAGGACACACCTGGGCCCGTGCAGGTGACACTGGGGCACCGCGTCCCGGCGAGCCCCCGACAGGACACACCTGGGCCCGTGCAGGTGACACTGGGGCACCGCGTCCCGGCGAGCCCCCGACAGGACACACCTGGGCCCGTGCAGGTGACACTGGGGCACCGCGTCCCGGCGAGCCCCCGACAGGACACACCTGGGCCCGTGCAGGTGACACTGGGGCACCGCGTCCCGGCGAGCCCCCGACAGGACACACCTGGGCCCGTGCAGGTGACACTGGGGCACCGCGTCCCGGCGAGCCCCCGACAGGACACACCTGGGCCCGTGCAGGTGACACTGGGGCACCGCGTCCCGGCGAGCCCCCGACAGGACACACCTGGGCCCGTGCAGGTGACACTGGGGCACCGCGTCCCGGCGAGCCCCCGACAGGACACACCTGGGCCCGTGCAGGTGACACTGGGGCACCGCGTCCCGGCGAGCCCCCGACAGGACACACCTGGGCCCGTGCAGGTGACACTGGGGCACCGCGTCCCGGCGGGGGGTCACCACAACATGAGGAACTGTGTTAAAGGGTCGCGGCTTTAGGAAGGTTGAGAACCACTGAATTAGAGATTCCTCCACAAGAGAATGATGTCACAGTTCTAAACGTGTGTGCATCCAGCAACATGGCCTAAATGTATACAACAGCCCGGCCGGTGTGGCTCAGTGGTTGAGTGTTGACTTATGAACCAGGAGGTCAACTTCCGGTCAGGGCACATGCCTGGGTTGTGGGCTTGACCCCCCGTGGGGGGTGGGCAGGAGGCAGCCGATCCATGATTCTCTCTCATCATTGGTGTTTCTATCTCTCTCTCCCTCTCCCTTCCTCTCTGAAATCAATTTTTAAAAGTCACATGACCACACACACCCCAAGGTGAAGTCAGAGTGGAAGTTAGGAAATGTTTTGACTTGAATAATAATGAAAATATTACATACAAATTTATAGAATGGATTTAGAATAGTCAGGAATTAAAGAGATGATGGCATCTGCTAAAAAAACAAAAAGAATGAAAAATAATGAGCTCAGCATCCGACTCGGCAGAGTCAGAGAAAGGGGAGGGAAAGAGTCAAAATGATACACACACTGGAACCAGGAGACAGAAAACAGAAGAGAGGACCCACCAAACGCAAGCGCGATTCTCTGAGAATACAGAGCAGAGTCCCCTGTGAGGACACCGTGTCATTGCCTTGGCGTGTCCTTCCAGGTCAGAGGGGCCGAGGTGATAGAGCCCTTTCAATCTAGGAACAGATTATTTATAGTCTTATTAGGCCATTGACCCATCCATCTATCCACCCACTCTTCCATCCACCGACCCACCCACCCATCCATCCATCCACCCATCCATCCGTCCATCCACCTACCCACCCTTCCATCCATCTACCCATCCATTCATCCATCCATCCACCCACCCACCCTTCATCCATCTACCCAACCATTCATCCATTCATGGATTTCGTGTTGGTGTGATTGTGATTGTGTGTTGGTGTGATTGTGGACTGCGTGTTGGTGTGATTGTGGATTTCGTGTTGGTGTGGGTGAGGTGTGCGCTCCTAACTTCATCCTGTGCTTGTGCCGCAGATGAGATGATCTACGACGACGTCGAGAACGGAGACGAGGGTGGGAACAGCTCCCTGGAGTACGGATGGAGTTCCAGTGAGTTTGAAAGTTACGGGGAGCAGAGCGACTCCGAGGGCAGGAACGGGGTCCCCCGGTCCTTCCTGCGCAGCAGCCACAGGAAGCAGGTGCGTGTGCAGCGTCGGCTGATGACACATACCCGGGCCAGCCCGTGGGATGCCGGCTCACAGGACGTGCACATGAGTGCTTTGGGGGTGTCGGCAGGTGGCTTGAGGAGAGCACAGGTATTGGCAGAAGAGAAGGGCCTAGTCTCCTATTCGCATCCTGTAGCAGTGACGTCACGGCAGGGGGGAAAGCACATGTGGAACTAAGTCCCTCAAAGGTCCTGGGAGAGCTTGCTGTCCTGAGAGTTTAAGAAAGCAGATCGCCGTCCTCTGAATTATTTGGGTTGTGCACACGTGATCTGCCCTGCACACTAGTGATGGAACCGGGCCTGCCCAGACACAATGCGACCCGCTGTCCCTCAGGGGCGGTGTGACTTCCGGGTGCCCACCACGAGCAGGGAGACATCACACAGACCACGTGACAGGACAGACCCCGAGCTGCCCACGACCTCCCTGGAGGGGAGTGTGTGTGTGACTCTGACCTCAGGTCCATCGGAGGACGCAGGCATTGAGGCGTGGAGTCTGGGACGGGGCGGAGGCAGGTCAGGTGTGTGAGGTCTCGGGTTGCCGTGGTGACTGGCTGTGCCATGTACACTCTGGTTGTTGGGGTTTGGGCTGTTTCCAAAAGGGGTGGTTTGTACTGACGTCTGCAGTGATGTCAGCGTCCTCATGTACTTTCTGTGGAGGTTGAGATGCAGCCTGTGTGTGACCCGGTGGGTGGAGCGGACGCAGCCTGTGTGTGACCTGGTGGGTGTAGCAGATGCAGCCTGTGTGTGACCCGGTGGGTGGAACAGACACAGCCCGTGTGTGACCTGGTGGGTGTAGCAGACACAGCCTGTGTGTGACCTGGTGGGTGGAACAGACACAGCCCGTGTGTGACCTGGTGGGTGTAGCAGACACAGCCTGTGTGTGACCTGGTGGGTGTAGCAGACAGCCTGTGACCTGATGCCTCATTGTGTGGCTCCGCCCACACTGGAACCAGACACACGTACCCTGGAGGCAGCCTCCAGGGGTCGGGGCGACCTGTGTCACGAACCTGGAGAGCAAGCTGCATTGCGGTGGGCATCTCAACTGCCCAGTGTTAGGACGAGCCTCTCGCGGGAACGCAGCTCCCTGCTGTCACCATGATCGTCACAGCCGCCTCACCAGGGAGTGAAGCCACAGCCGAACTTGACTCAGTCCAGCCGCGCCCAACGCTCTGGGTTTAAGCTGAGACTTGAGCGTAGCACTTTGGGGCCCAGTTTGCCGCAGGATGGGGTGCTCAGCGGTGCCGTGGGAGAGCGGGCAAAGCACCCTTAAACCCCGCCTCCAGTCAGCCTGGTCAAGGACGGTACAGGCGCCGGTCGGTCGGGTGGGGCCCGCGGAGCC